TATCCATATATATTATAAAAAAATGCTCTTAGTTTTTCTTTTTACTCGCTTTGCATTAAAAACAAAATATATTTCCAATTATCTTTTTGTAAACAAGGTTATAGTTAACTCGAAGGGGTGGAGTGTCAAATAAATTTGGGGAAAATTTAATCGGTTGATAATGACCCTTACGTTCTTAATAAACGTAAGGGGAGGAGGAAAATTGGTCGCGTCGAAGCGGAGAACGATCGTTACGTAACGTTGCTCGAGCGAGAAAGAGATTGAAGTGGAGCGTTTAGGGTATCGATCACGAGGCGTGCTTGGGTTGCTCTGTTGTTCGTGCAAGAGGGTAAAGACCCTGGCTGGAACTAGAGTTCCTGTTTGCTTTCGACGATAAACGGGAGGAGCGTTTCTTTCGACGCGACACGAAAGACGTATCAGATTTCACTCTCAAATTGTTCATCCTATTTTTTGATACTTGGAGAAACTATAATAATAACGAAAAGGTAAATTGATCTTTTTTCTTTTTTTTAAGAACGCAAAATTATTTACAAAATACGAGATGATTCATTTAATTATGCCATCTTATACTGCAAAATATTTATTGTAAAACGTCTTCAAAGAAAAGGGTTTCTTTTTTAATGATAAAAAGCAGATAATTAAATATCCAATCCTTCTCTCTTCATCTAAGAATCAATCGCAATTCCAAGATATATATATATATAAGATCACAATAATTTGTTACCAATGTAAAAAAAAAAAAAAAAAGAGAAGGGTTTTTCGAGATGGAAAAACGATCCTTTTTTCTCAAAAAATTAATAAAAATTCAAAGATCAATTTGTTACCAATGTAAAAAAAAAAAAAAAAAGAGAAGGGTTTTTCGAGATGGAAAAACGATCCTTTTTTCTCAAAAAATTAATAAAAATTCAAAGATCAATTTGTTACCAATGTAAAAAAAAAAAAAAAAAGAGAAGGGTTTTTCGAGATGGAAAAACGATCCTTTTTTCTCAAAAAATTAATAAAAATTCAAAGATCAATTTGTTACCAATGTAAAAAAAAAAAAAAAAAGAGAAGGGTTTTTCGAGATGTAAAGACGATCTCTCTTCATCTAAGAATTAATCATAATTCCAAGATCAACTTGTTACCAATGTAAAAAAAAAAAAAAAAAAGGAGTAATCAAAGAACCCATCGTGGCATTCAAATGGAAACAGAAACATCTGTTGTCAGCGAATAGGAAAATTTAGCGTATCGATGGCGTTCAGTGTGCTGGCTCGAGAGGATTTATACGCGTCCTTGACCAAGCGCTCCGCATCAATTTCCGAACAATGGCGGCCGGAACGGTGCAATCAAGCTCAGGCCAACTGCTCAACTTTCCACCGAAAATCGCGTCAACTTGTCCGAAACGTCGATAGGAAACCCTTCCCCGATGAAATTTTCCACAGGGAAGAAAGGTTTTCCGCAGGGAAACCTTGAAAAGGACGACCTTGGGAGCAAATTGCATCGCGAACATCACAGGTTCGAAACCTTAGCGATTATCGCCCTCACAACATTTTCTCTCCCCGTTGCTTGAAATGAAAATCCTCGAGAGTTTTCGTTCGAACTCATTGTTCCTCCATTGGGGCGAGATAAGGTTTGAAGTTTAACGAAAGAGGGAGAGGCTGTTGAGGAAATAAACGATGATTAAGTGGGATGACTTGAAAATCATGATTTTGCTCGAGAATTCGTTTCGAGAGGAAATTGATTTATTGATAGACCTGTTCGCGGGTGAATTGATGATATTCTTCGATTAATTACATATTTCAATGTTGGAACAAAAATATTTTATTATCGTTAAAACTCGTTAAAAATTATCGCGTATATTTTTATTACCCCAATTCGTTTTTTTGCGGAAAAATTTAACTTTAACTTTTTTCTCGTTTCAGAACTGATTATATGAATCGAAACTGTCAGACAGATTAACACACTTCACGTTAATAGATATATGGGCAAACGATAGATAATAAGTCAGAAAGAAACAGATATTTTCCAGTCCATTGATCGAGCTAATATATCGAAAAAAAACTACGTATCTACTTCTACCAGCACTTTTTACGTCTCGTGCACACGAGTCTCACTTTCACCCGAGTAGAGCTGAAAATCGTTGACCAAGGTAAAGGGGACGATTAAAAATTTCAAACTTGAACTTCCCAATTTGATTCTCTCGAAAGCGCAAAACTGGCTGGTCGAATTAGAACAAATTGAGAAAGAAAATATCGAATATAGGAATGGAGAATATTCGCACACATTGCATAGATGAATCACGCGATTTTGATTTCGTGACAAATCGAACTCCTCCGCAAAGAAGAGAGAATTAACGGAGGAGCGATGCATTGTACATTGATGCGGAGACACCGAGCGCTCTGCCTACTGCTATCCGTATCATGGCCGAGGCGTGCAGATATCCGTCTGTCTGACCTAAATACGTAATTATCTTTTCGCGAGGCACGACCTTGGACGGGGCAAGTCCGAACTGGGCCATGTCTCCGTCTGCCATGTTTTACTTGGTTCATCGTGGCTCACCTGCCCGCCATCCACCGCCAGAATTCAAGAACCTCTTCTCCTCCTGCCACCCCCTCCTTCAACAACCTCCTCCCTTCTCCTCCAAGAGAAGAAGGCATCTCTGACGAGGCTCAGCTGCGACGAGATGTGTCATCTGGATGGAAATAATACGCCCTGTAATTTCCTCCTCGCGGATAATTTAATTAATCCCGGTTTAATGGAGATTCGAGATACACGCCCTGGTCGTAACGTCGCTTTTTTTCCTTCTTTTTTTTTTTATTTTAATTATACGTTTTTCAATGCCGCCACTTTGTGGAAAAGCAACGAAATATATTTTCGAGGGAAAAGTATTGGAAATAATTATCGGGGTGGTGTTCGTTCGTTGGATGATGATGAATATTTGGAAATGTTTTTTTCATCGTGTTTAACGAAGTTTAATGATTGTTTAAGGAGGAAATAACTTTTCGTCATTTATCGAAAAGCGAGTCAAACGTTTAGTTTTTGATCGTGTTTGAATTACATTGGAAAGAAATAATCGAACTGTAAAAAAATACTTTTATTTTAAGAATACTATTATTTTATATATATATATATATATTACTTTTATTTTAGAAATAAAAGTATTTTTCAAAATCTC